CTGGATGGTGTCTTACCTTATTTCAATGTCATTTAGTTTTATTGAAGAGTTTACATTGGAATGGGTTATTGCAAAATCATCTGTTTTCAAAACATAAGAATTGTTATTTGAAAAAGGAACGAATGTCAAATATAATTTTGATGGCAGAAGGGAAAGAACTAGGGTCCCAACCAGCCGGCAATGGATGTGGGCTGGGGGAGAACAAATGGTTCCCCTCCTTCTCACTTAGGGCACTCACCTGCGACAATGGGTGAGAGATGGGGAGGAACAATAGGTTACCCCCCATTATTACTTAGAGCCTTCACCCGCCAACAATGGGTGGGGGCTGGAGGGGAACAAATTTGGTTTTTCAGCTTTTTGGGGTTGGTAATCCTGTCCAGCCTTGGGAACAACATAAAACATAACAAACTATCAAAACAAGGATAAAGTTTTTCAGGAGGAGTGCAGTTTGTATCTGTCTGCTGCTCTTTGGAGTTAGGACCCAGTCATGTCACAATGCCCATGGCCAAGTGGTTCCGTGGGATAAAGGCGACTACTGTGGCTGGGTCCCAGGTCGGTGTTGCCCTCCGGTCTCTTGGCTCCTCGTCGGGGGCTGTCAGTCCCAGTGCTCGCAGTAATGTGGGCGCCTCTTTGGCCGAAGTGATCCTGTGGATAGTCCCACTGTGGCTCACTGTGAGAGCTTGTGGGGTAGTTCATTGGTATGAGATTCCCGCTTGTCTTAGTTGGCTTGTGGCCTGGAGGAAAGATTTGCGCCAATGTAAGGTGGGCCTTGACAGGTCCTGGTAGAAGGATAGATCAGCTCCTTCGAATGTGTAGGGAGTTCGGTTTCGTAGTGCAGCAAGTAGTGCCTGTTTGTCTTGGGCTAATGCGCAGCAGACTATGACATTCTTCACTGAGTTTGTTGGGGCTTTAAGCAATTTTGGCAGGCGGAATATGCCATCAAATGTGAGCTTTTGGGCTTGTGGAGGCGATAGTAGCGAGGCCGTTAGACGCCTCAGGTAGTGGGGTAACTCTGCCATGGTGACAGACTCCGGCACCCCTCTTATCTTCAGGTTCTTGCACCTGGAACGGGCCTCTAGCATAGCAAGGTGTGCAGAAAAGGTTTGTTGCGTCTTTTGGATGGTTTGAATAGAGTCTTTCATTGTGGATACTTCTTGCCTTATATCTATGATGTCCTCTTTGCTTGCTCTGACTTTGTCAGTGACCATCTCTAGGTCGGCATGAATGACTGCTATGTCTGTGGCTAGCGTCTGGCGAAATTCAGTTAGGTAGTTTTTAATGTCCTGCTTGGTGGCCAGGGCGGATAAGTCAGGGAGGCCTGTAATTGGTGCCCCTGCCACTTGTGGTGGGGTGTGAGCTGGTAGGTTGTGAAGTGCTTGGGCCTGGGGGTCGGCCGGGAGCTCCTGATTCTCTGGGGCTGCCATTTTGGGCTAGGCCTGTCGCTGTAAAAGGGCCCCTATGTTCGCATGCTATTTTTAAACGGAGGTTGCAGCTTGTTGCATTATGTTTGGAGACTCAAAGAAACTGCTGACAATCCCCAAGGGGGTTCCAGACCAACATAAGGCTTTATACACTCTGTCATCTTAGAAGCATGCGCAGCAAATTACATTAGGGTGTGTACTCAGATAAAATTACTATCTAGAAGTTGCTTAAAAAAATAAAAATTTGGCTAACAAGGTACAAAATACACATTTCTGCTCTAACGATAACTAGGAGTTTATAGAAATTTTCTTCTAAAACCTCTTCAGCTAATTGCAACTCCCTCAAAAGTGCCCAGACAGACATAGACAGGGGGAAAAAACGTCAGTTTAGCCCTGCATTAGGGTGGCATGGCACACCTTGCATACACCTGTGGTTATTTTCTAAACTCCAAATGTTGCCAGATTTATTTCAAATTGCAAAACTGAGGTAAAATAGATGTGCCTGAAATGTAGACTTTCTCCTAAACCATTCAAATTATGGTTCTGTGATTCTTATATCAATAAGACATTATGGATCCCGGGTCAGTTGTAAGGACTTGTTTATTGACATAATACAAGCACTTTATTAGAGGTAAGAAAACATTCTACAATAGGGCACCGTATTCATGGTATATATTTTGCTAAATTCTGATTTTATTGAATAACCATGTAAGAATGTTGTTAAATTTTGTCACCAATAAAAAATGTTCATTCACTCTATCAATCCATCTGTTCAATGTTACAATCTACCCACACATTAAGATGTACGTCTCTGGCAGATTGGACCCTGCAAATTGTCCTTGACACCTCAGAATCTACCCATTCAGTTAAATAATCCTCCCATCATCATGGAACCCTACAATTTGATTACAGAAACTTGCTGGGATAGCTTTAGCAGGATTCAAGTGAATGCAGATTATTAATTTCTTTGGGGAGGGGAAGAATAATAAACAACAATGGAAAATAAAACATCAACGAATAACTGTCAAGAACAGTGAGTTAATGATTAGTTATTCAAAGGGTTGGGATAGATTGCTAATTAGCCACTAATTAAAAGATTAGAATGGATTTTTGAAGGAAATATGTTAACCAGATATGTTAGGCTATTGATAAGTAGATATCAGCCACATCAGAATTTGTATCAGAAAACCTCACATTCTATTTTCAGCCATACCGAGTTTAAAAAGCAAACCTTTAGAAGCTGGTTCCTTAACCCCTTAAGGACACATGACATGTGTGGCATCTCATGATTCCCTTTTATTCCAGAAGTTTGGTCCTTAAGGGGTTAAAAAGTAAAATAAAAATAAAAATTGGTGCTTTACAAGCCATCAATGAAAATGAACCTGTGAAAACAGATTTCTAATTACCCAATATACAAACACCTCTAATAAAAGTAATACACTTCGTTTTTAATCAAAACATTTTAACTGTATGTTGTGTCGTTGTTTGTTTTCCCCCAGGATTTAAGTACAATACTCTACCTATTGAATATTAGATGGTTATCCATATCTGTTTTGTACATCTGTGGTTGAAATATGGACTGAGATTAGGCCCATTCCATGTGATTGGGGTTATTTATATAATTTAATTAACAATTACTTGATTAATAATTAACATGTTCGAGTTTCTCCATTTTTTTTAATTGCTTTCTGATCAAGTTACTTTCTAGCTCTTTTTGTTTTGCCGTTTTTACACTCCACCCAGAACCTTTGATACAAATGTCTCTGTACCCAGGATATTTGGTTACTGCAGTCTACTGTGGGTACATTTATCGCCTGTTTCGTGGATATCAAGTGCCAATCTCCTTTAGCCACAGAATGTATACGTGATAGATTTCTACAAGGCTGTATCAACATCTGTTATTTTTTTAATTATCTCCTTATTTTTAATTGAGCAATCATTTCCATTGAAACGTGAGTTTGTTTTTGGCCACATACTTCATTGGTAATCTTTTGTAGGATTAGAATATTTAGGACATATTTCACAGAAAATTCTGTTCTATCCCGTGATGGTATAATGCATTTCAAAGATCCACGGCTTATCCTTCCGTTGTGATGTTCCCATCTGCTAGGCAGACATTATCTTTCATTCCAAGTTAATTTTCGGTAAAGAATGTACTGAATTCAGCGCAGAGTATCCATGCAGAGTATTCCTTCCTGTAATATTGGAATATTCTCTACATGAAGTTTGTCATTTAATTTGTGAATGCTTAAACCCTTTCTGATGATGAACCGGACACGCGACTTTTCTAAATGTTCCACCTTTTTACTGAGAAACCATACCACGTTTTTGTTTTCCGATATCAGTGAAACCCAGGAGGGTTCAGAAAGTTCATTGACAGGGTGACACGATGGCTCTTTGATAACTGGGACGCACTATGCACGTTAGCAGGAGTGGATCAGATAATAGTATCCTCGCTCTGCAAAAACACATCTTAAAATTGAAATAAGCTGGGTCCATTCACGCACAATGAATAGTTTCATAATAAGTACGAGTTGCCTGATTTATCTGTTATATTTGTATGTAACACATACATTATCAGCCACTTTGTTATACATCACTGTTGTAAATGTTAATATATCGGTATGAGATCTCTTGGCCTATTGAAGGGCAAATTATTTGCCAGTTAGGAGGAAGGAAACTAGGCAAATGCCAAAGATAACACATTCTGTTTTAATCTAGTTCTGCATCTTGCAATCTTAATCAGGGAGATATCAGGACGCTGTCAAAAAACAGTTTTGCAATTTGTTGATTTATGGTTCACCATCATTGTCAATAAGGTCATGCATCATATAAACATTGTGCATGACAATAGCCCTTACAGAAAGATAATTGTTCCATTGCCAGTGTGTAAGTAGTAATTAATGAACCATTAATGCAAACTTCTGTATATGACATAGCCACATAGCACAAGGACAATGGCAATGGCATGATAAGGGGTGAAGTCAGAGTTTTTTGATTTCTTTTGGTTTTATATTATTATTTATAAAGCACCAACAAATTCCGTAGCGCTGTACAATGGTTGGACTAACAGACACGTACTTGTAGACACAAAAGAACAGAGGGGTTAAGGGCCCTACTCAATGGGCTTACATGTTAGAGGGAGTGGGGTATAGTGACACAGTAACAGAGGGATTGAGGGCCCTGTTCAATGAGTTTACATGTTAGAGGGAGTGGGGTATAGTGACACAGTAACAGAGGGATTGAGGGCCCTACTCAATGGGCTTACATGTTAGAGGGAGTGGGGTATAGTGACACAGTAACAGAGGGATTGAGGGCCCTGTTCAATGAGTTTACATGTTAGAGGGAGTGGGGTATAGTGACACAGTAACAGAGGGATTGAGGGCCTGCTCAGTGAGTTTACATGTTAGAGGGAGTGGGGTATAGTGACACAGTAACAGAGGGATTGAGGGCCCTGCTCAGTGAGTTTACATGTTAGAGGGAGTGGGGTATAGTGACACAGTAACAGAAGGATTGGGGGCCTGCTCAGTGAGTTTACATGTTAGAGGGAGTGGGGTATAGTGACACAGTAACAGAATGATTGAGGGCCCTGCTCAGTGAGTTTACATGTTAGAGGGAGTGGGATATAGTGACACAGTAACAGAGGGATTGAGGGCCTGCTCAGTGAGTTTACATGTTAGAGGGAGTGGGGTATAGTGACACAGTAACAGAGGGATTGAGGGCCTGCTCAGTGAGTTTACATGTTAGAGGGAGTGGGGTATAGTGACAGTAACAGAGGGATTGAGGGCCTGCTCAGTGAGTTTACATGTTAGAGGGAGTGGGGTATAGTGACACAGTAACAGAGGGATTGAGGGCCCTGCTCAGTGAGTTTACATGTTAGAGGGAGTGGGGTATAGTGACACAGTAACAGAGGGATTGAGGCCCTGCTCAGTGAGTTTACATGTTAGAGGGAAGGGGGTATAGTGACACAGTAACAGAGGGATTGAGGGCCTGCTCAGTGAGTTTACATGTTAGAGGGAGTGGGGTATAGTGACACAGTAACAGAGGGATTGAGGGCCTGCTCAGTGAGTTTACATGTTAGAGGGAGTGGGGTATAGTGACACAGTAACAGAGGGATTGAGGGCCTGCTCAGTGAGTTTACATGTTAGAGGGAGTGGGGTATAGTGACAGTAACAGAGGGATTGGGGCCCTGCTCAGTGAGTTTACATGTTAGAGGGAGTGGGGTATAGTGACAGTAACAGAGGGATTGAGGGCCCTACTCAGTGAGCTTACATGCTTGAGGGAGTGGGGTATAGTGACACAGTAACAGAGGGATTGAGGGCCCTGCTCAGTGAGTTTACATGTTAGAGGGAGTGGGGTATAGTGACACAGTAACAGAGGGATTGAGGGCCTGCTCAGTGAGTTTACATGTTGGAGGGAGTGGGGTATAGTGACACAGTAACAGAGGGATTGAGGGCCTGCTCAGTGAGGTTACATGTTAGAGGGAGTGGGGTATAGTGACACAGTAACAGAGGGATTGAGGGCCTGCTCAGTGAGTTTACATGTTGGTGGGAGTGGGGTATAGTGACACAGTAACAGAGGGATTGAGGGCCCTGCTCAGTGAGTTTACATGTTAGAGGGAGTGGGGTATAGTGACACAGTAACAGAGGATTGAGGGCCTGCTCAGTGAGTTTACATGTTAGAGGGAGTGGGGTATAGTGACACAGTAACAGAGGGATTGAGGGCCCTGCTCAGTGAGCTTACATGTTAGAGGGAGTGGGGCATAGTGACACAGTAACAGAAGGATTGAGGGCCTGCTCAGTGAGTTTACATGTTAGAGGGAGTGGGGTATAGTGACACAGTAACAGAGGGATTGAGGGCCCTGCTCAGTGAGTTTACATGTTAGAGGGGTGGGGTATAGTGACACAGTAACAGAGGGATTGAGAGCCCTGATCAATGAGCTTACATGCTATAGGGAGTGGGGTATAGTGACACAGTAACAGAGGGATTGAGGGCCCTGCTCAGTGAGTTTACATGTTAGAGGGAGTGGGGTATAGTGACACAGTAACAGAGGGATTGAGGGCCTGCTCAGTGGGTTTACATGTTAGAGGGAGTGGGGTATAGTGACACAGTAACAGAGGGATTGAGGGCCCTGCTCAGTGAGTTTACATGTTAGAGGGAGTGGGGTATAGTGACACAGTAACAGAGGGATTGAGGGCCCTGCTCAGTGAGTTTACATGTTAGAGGGAGTGGGGTATAGTGACACAGTAACAGAGGGATTGAGGGCCCTGCTCAGTGAGTTTACATGTTAGAGGGAGTGGGGTATAGTGACACAGTAACAGAGGGATTGAGGGCCTGCTCAGTGAGTTTACAGCATGTTGGGAGTGGATGACACAGTAACAGAGGGTGAGGGGCCTGCTCAGTGAGTTTACATGTTAGAGGGAGTGGGGTATAGTGACACAGGAACAGAGGGGTTGAGGGCCCTGCTCAGTGAGTTTACATGTTAGAGGGAGTGGGGTATAGTGACAGTAACAGAGGGATTGAGGCCCCTGCTCAGTGAGTTTACATGTTAGAGGGAGTGGGGTATAGTGACACAGTAACAGAGGGATTGAGGGCCTGCTCAGTGAGTTTACATGTTAGAGGGAGTGGGGTATAGTGGCACAGTAACAGAGGGATTTAGGGCCTGCTCAGTGAGTTTACATGTTAGAGGAGTGGGGTATAGTGACAGTAACAGAGGGATTGAGGCCCTGCTCAGTGAGTTTACATGTTAGAGGGAGTGGGGTATAGTGACACAGTAACAGAGGGATTGAGGGCCTGCTCAGTGAGTTTACATGTTAGAGGGAGTGGGGTATAGTGACACAGTAACAGAGGGATTGAGGGCCTGCTCAGTGAGTTTACATGTTAGAGGGAGTGGGGTATAGTGACACAGTAACAGAGGGATTGAGGGCCTGCTCAGTGAGTTTACATGTTAGAGGGAGTGGGGTATAGTGACACAGTAACAGAGGGATTGAGGGCCTGCTCAGTGAGTTTACATGTTAGAGGGAGTGGGGTATAGTGACACAGTAACAGAGGGATTGAGGGCCCTGCTCAGTGAGTTTACACGTAGAGGGAGTGGGTGTAGTGGACAGTAACAGAGGGATTGAGGGCCCTGCTCAGTGAGTTTACATGTTAGAGGGAGTGGGGTATAGTGACACAGTAACAGAGGGATTGAGGGCCTGCTCAGTGAGTTTACATGTTAGAGGGAGTGGGGTATAGTGACACAGTAACAGAGGGATTGAGGTCCTGCTCAGTGAGTTTACACATTAGAGGGAGTGGGGTATAGTGACACAGTAACAGAGGGATTGAGGCCCTGCCTCAGTGAGTTTACATGTTAGAGGGAGTGGGGTATAGTGACACAGTAACAGAGGGATTGAGGGCCTGCTCAGTGAGTTTACATGTTAGAGGGAGTGGGGTATAGTGACACAGTAACAGAGGGATTGAGGGGCCCTGCTCAGTGAGTTTACATGTTAGAGGGAGTGGGGTATAGTGACACAGTAACATTGAGGGATGTTTGGGGTATAGGGCCCTGCTCAGTGAGTTTACATGTTAGAGGGAGTGGGTATAGTGACACAGTAACAGAGGGATTGAGGCCCTGCTCAGTGAGCTTACATGTTAGAGGGAGTGGGGTATAGTGACACAGTAACAGAGGGATTGAGGGCCTGCTCAGTGAGTTTACATGTTAGAGGGAGTGGGGTATAGTGACACAGTAACAGAGGGATTGAGGGCCCTGCTCAGTGAGTTTACATGTTAGAGGGAGTGGGGTATAGTGACACAGTAACAGAGGGATTGAGGGCCTGCTCAGTGAGTTTACATGTTAGAGGGAGTGGGGTATAGTGACACAGTAACAGAGGGATTGAGGGCCCTGCTCAGTGAGCTTACATGTTAGACTGAGTGGGGTATAGTGACACAAAAGGTAAGGGTCGGGTAGGAAACTAGGCTGCTAGAATAGTATTCACTTAGGGTTTTGTGTTTTTTTTTTTCCAAAACAATATGTTTGGAAATAATAGCGGTAACAAGGAAGGATGGTGAAGAGGGGTCAAAGGATGACAGGGAAAGTAGATTTGAAATAGTAAGAGTAAAACATAGGGGGGAAAGGACAATGTGGATAAAGAGGTTGAGCAAAAGGATAAGTGAAAGCTAAAAACAATAAGAGTAGTTAAGCAGATCTTGGATAGGGACAAGGGGGGAGACCCAGGGGGTAGATGAAAACATGGAATGATATAAACTAAGAAGGTAGAAATATGCAGGAGATTTTAATATGATTGGGGAAAGAATGGGGGCAGAGACAAATGACTGGGGAAATATTTTTTTTTGGTTAATTCACAATAGTGTCCTACCCCTATAACTAATGTATGCACTGTAGTATATTAGTCCCACGATACCTGTATCTAATTGTTAAATATAATGTGTGATCCATATTGATACGGGCAAAATGCTTGTCCTATGGCCATATAACAGGCAAGGAAAATGTTTGAAGGGCCATTCACAACCTGTGATGCATTCAAAATTCTCCCACATCCCATGGTCATAATGTCTGGAAATATATATTACTGAGCAAATTCATGAAAGGTTTTATGAACATTAAAATTATGCTAGGTACCTTCCATTGCCACACAATCACTGAACATTTTTGTAAACACCTTCACCGCAGGTAGATTCCATTTCCTTCACCCCTTAAAGAACTTGAGGACTTTTATCTTCAACGAACAGAGTCCTCTGGACACTCATAATTTGTCGCACATCATTCCAAGAAGCAAAGTCAGTCTGAAGGCAATGTTGACCTTCTTCCATTTTATGACCCTTTAATCCTCTTCATTTATTCTAGACATCTTTTGTTACATTTTATTTTTCCTTATTTTGACCAATTTTTATTATGCGGATCACATTCTTTGCAAAATTATATTCATTGTTTATACATACACTGGTATGGTTTTCATTTTCAATGCGTGTTCACAATGTTTTAGCAATAGTTCATTAACCTCATTCATTATTTTAGAACATTCTATAAATTCTCTATGTCTCCATAGGATTTAACTATGAATAATTACATTTCTGCAAGAGCTTTTATTATCCATGTGAGCGGTACAGTCAGACATAAATCAATACATTACAAAACTATTTCTGTTTTTGCCGTCACTCTTATATCCTATCTGGCGATCTGTAGACCTAAAGATGCAGAAGTAGATTAATAGCACCTCATTTCAACGGTCTCATAGCATAGACGTCCTTTGTTTGGTGATTTATTTATTAGCTTTAAAGGATAATTTTTGCCCCAAATGACGCAGTTGAATAATAATGTTGGCACTATGGATTATTTCCCATCCCCTATAGATGTGTTCATTATTGAAATTAACTAGTGGGAAGCTCATACAAATAAATTAATCACAAATGGTAATGTGTAAAAATATGTGGCTCTTATGAAAAAGGGAGCACAGTACTTAATTAATCACTAAAAGCATTTATTAAATAAAATGTTGTTTAGGTTTTCACTATTTAAATATTTTTGATGTTGGTTATATATTATATTTAAAAACAGTTTGACTGGTTGATCATTGCATACCCGCTGAATTTATTTTTATTGTCAGAGGCCGTATTCCTACTATAAACTGAATAAAACTTGTATTTTAGGTTTCTTTGATTTGTAGTGCAACCCAAAATGTTTTTGATTAATGTAACAGAGGACCATTAGAGAAGTTTTGATATGAAAAGTTAAGTTATGGTATTTGATAATATTTAATTGTCCACAACAATATTGGGCTGCTTTGTTTTTCTCCAATTGAACGTGTGCGGTTTCACATTCTTGGTCTATAGACTTCAATACCAATTCTTTATTCGCAAAGTAATATAAAATACAAAAAAAATCACCAAGCACTTTGCTAAAATACAATTAGTAAAAAAAAATCAAAAAAAAAAATCAAGGTAACTGGAATGTAAGTTACGTGAACTCCAGTTAAGGGGTTTTACACTTACCTTCTTTTCTCTCTCTCCCTGTTCTCATCCCAAACCCCCTCACCTCTGCTTCCGTACTATCATTTTCTTTAGCTTTTCAACATAGTCTTCTCTTGCCTTCTCTTAATTTAGTCCCACATTGTAAATTCACAATTTAATCAGAGAGTTAGTCTGGCTGATACTGAATGTATAAGTATTCCTTATAGTGAGAACTAGAGTTGAGCGTACACCTGGATGTTTGGGTCCGGCGGGTTCGGCCGAACTTTGAAAAAAAGTCCGGGCTCGGGCTCGAACTTGACCCCGAACCTGATCCAATTGAAGTCAATGGGGACCCAAACTTTTGGGCACAAAAATGGCTCTAAAAAACTACTAGAAAGGGCTAGAGGGCTGCAAAAGGAAGAAAATGGGGCTAAGAGTAGGACAAGTGCCCTGCAAACAAATATGGATAGGAAAATCACTTACAAATAACGTAAAATAAGAAGCCGCTTAGTAGATAACTCCCTGATTCCCACGGTATTAGGGAGCTATCTACCAAAAAGCTGAAAGACCTAAATTGGTCAGCTAAATTGGTCTTTCAGCCACATTTACTAATGCTAAATAAAGATTACTTAGTATTAGTAAATTCAGACCCTACTTGCTATACTGAAAGTAGGGGCATGTCTAGTAAACAGCGAGCAGCCAGTGGCCCTAAATAAGAATGTGGAGGGGGGGACCTACGGTCCTCCTCCCAAGCCCCACCCCTGAGTGGCGGGTGGGGTCCCTAAATAACAATAAAGGGGGGACCTACTGTCCTCCTCCCAGCCCCCACCCCTGAATGGTGGGTAGGGGCCATAAATAAAAATGTGTGGGGGGGACCTACCGTCCTCCCCCCCAGCCCCCACCCCTGCACGGTGGGTGGGGGCTCTAAATAACAAGAAGGTGGGGACAACCTAATGTCCTCCCCACCCAGCCCCCATCCCTGGGGGGGCCATAAATGAAAATGGGGGGGACCTAATGTCCTCCCCTCCGACCCCCACCCCTGAGTGGTGGGTGGGGGCCATAAATAAAAATTGGGGGGGACCTAATGTCCTCCCCCTGGCCCCCACCCCTGAGCAGGTGGGGGCTGAGGGGGAGGACATAGGTCCCCCTCCCTTATTGTTATTTAGGGCCCCCACCCACCACTCAGGGGTGGGGGCCAGGGGGGCAATAGTTTTTTTTTTTTTTTAACAATTAGCATCCACAGGCTGCTCACTGTTTAATAGACATGCCCCTACTTGCAGTATAGTGAGTAGGGGCATAATTTACTAAGTGACCAGCTTCTATAGATGTTGGGTCACTTGCTGCAGTGGCCAATCACAGCCATGCCATTAGTAAGCATGGCTGTGATGGCTTCTAAGGGCACACGAGTCAAACGCTTGTTGATTGGCTGCCCTGCAACCTTTCAAAACGCGTCATTAACTCACCGAACACCGAATTCCAACCCAAACATACAGTGATATGTCCGTGTTCGGGTCCGGGTCCAAAAAACTTAATGTTCGGTACGAACACGAACTTTACAGTCCGGGTTCGCTCAACTCTAGTGAGAACCTTTATTTTGTTTTGTTGTCTATAGTAAAATATTTTTTATTCCTGCCATACGCTGTATGATGTTACTAGGTCATTTGACCTGTCAGTAACTTGTTTGGCATTATACACTATTTGGTATTCTTTTTAAAATTGCAAAAAAAATTATAAAATTAAAATAAAAAAAATAAAAAAAACAGCAGTATTCGTACATACCACAGTAACAAAATCACTTAGCTGACATTGATAGACAGCCATAACCCAGTACAGAAGCCCTGGTTAGTATTGAAACAACCTGTTGATTTCCTTGCATTTACACACCATATGGTAAGCTGCCATGCCATCTCTGCTTGTAATTGGATCGTCACAATTATGCAAACAGGTGCTTATCATTATTCTGGAGGTAAAATCTGTAAAATATTATTTAATGATCGTAGAGGGGCTCAGATTGATGTAGACTGAAAGTTAGGCAAGTAAAGAATAACATGTGCTTGCCATCATACCTAAGTGAGTGCTTTGCATTTATCTTAAATATCTGTCTAGCCAGGATATATTTAATATGTAGTACAGGAGACATGAACATCTTTATTCATGAAAATACATGAATGAATCTATTTGATATTTTAACAATAACCATAGTGCATAGGCTGATAGTTTACTGATTAGCTTCAATTAGCTGTTGTGAATTAAGTGCTATGGATTAAATGGCTGTCTTACAGCTTGCCTCGAAGAAAACAATGAGTGTGACTGTAAGAGTTTTTTAGGACTTCTACAGACTGCCAAAACTAGTATGTATGGTCATGGAAAAGCGTTGGTTTAACACACAGTGTTTGGGTGGTGAAATTCTGCAGTTATAATGAACCGAATCAAGGAAAGACCGGGATTGCCTTTTGAGGTTAATTGACCTGGTCCATAGAACTATATGATTCTTACAATGTCAGATGAAAGCAGATGGAAGTTTCACATACAACATGTGCCTACACTATTAATACATGCTCATAATGTCTTTGACAGAGCATTACAAAGGAATTAATAGAATGGCCCTCTGTATTTTGCTGCAGCAGTTCTGTACAGCGTAATTGATGGGATTGTGGTTTGAAACTGTAATGAACATCCTCTTTGCAAACTTTAAATATGATCATTATATGGCACCAACATGTTCCACAGCAGTGTACAACAGGCAAACAAGACAAGCATTTAATTCTAACATAATGTATGACATATGATAATGGTGGGTGAAGAGGATCCTGTCCAAAGGAGTTTACAATCTAAAGAACTAAACTAAACCACAAATTGTCCGTTGCTATCTATTGTACCCAGCTGCCCGTCAGTTAAATTACACAGAGCACTGCAGGAAGTTGCCACAGTCTAAAAGGTCACAATCACTGGTCTTTGTGGCTATCCGGTACATCACGTTTGTAGACCCTTGTCTTAAAATTCAATTCTCCAAGTCAAAATCAAAGCTTTAAAATGTATTCCCAGACAGCACATATATATATATTGAAACAACTGATACAATAAAATAGTGGTAATAATATAGAAACTTTCTATTACCACTTTCTGAAGCCATGTGTTGGAGAAACGTGTTGTGGTTTATTTTAATTCACATTGTAAAATTAAAGGAATATTGGCTATTTTATTTCTCTGAGCCATATATTTTTTTCCCTTTATTTATTTATTCATTCATTCACTTTTTAACCTGGTCACCTATCTACATCATCAAAGAAGATTATACCACCTACGCTTCAATCCTTGAGCAGTAGTTCCTGCTCAATCAAATGTGAGTATAAGACCTTTTATACTATCGTCTATTTTACTGGTTTATACCAAGAGCACTATTTCTTCTTGTCTTTCTCTTTTGGGATGCCTTTCCTTCGAGATACCTTTTGGAAGCACTGCCACTAATATCCTACCAGTGGGGGATACACCGCCACTGAAAGCACACCACAGAACTTGTATTAGCTCTACTATATGTGAGTAGATCTATATAGAATGTTATATTATTTATTTCTTGTTTGTGGCATACTACACCGATGGAGTTTCTTCTTCTTCCCTTTATGGTCTAACGAGATGAAAAGGCAGCAACCTCCTGATTCCCACAAGAAATTCATTGCCAAAAGGACTCCATTTTATTATCTGATGTACCTCAAAGTTTGAACTTTTTTTTTTTTATTCTCTATTTTTGCAGTGCAAGATAATGGTTACATGCTCAAATAAACATTGTGCAGGATATAACAATATAGAATCGTGGTTTGTTACACAACAGCTGGAAAGATTGCACTGAATTTTTATATATATTTAAATGGCTTGGATCAGTATGTGTCAAACGTTTCTACAAATGAGCTCTCTCAAGTTATAGTGATTCTAGTGACAACATATTAGTCACTATATAGTGGGGTGCCCAACAGGTGGGTTAATCTCAATATATTGGTCAGGCTAGGTAACTGGAGGGGGGTGAATTTAATATAAAACAAAGCATGCTTGGTGCATCTTATGAGCGTGACATTGTAAGCCTTCCACAGGTCAGCTGTAAAACCCTTTGATTAACTAAGCAGAGAGGCGACCTGTCTACACAATTATAACAGCGATTTATTGCCTGACCATGGTGTACAAGCTTGGGTTCTACTGGCTTATGGCCTTTTAGGGTAGTACACGGTCCACACTGGGGTTAGACCGGTACCAGGAGATTAGTTGCACTATGGGCTTAAACAGTGAGGGTTAACGTGTGTTTGACGTGTGTAAAAGCATTGCAATTCATGGTCCCATGTACTGCGCAACATGGAACTCACAATTACTGTTGTTAAGTGCAGGTGGTTCACCCTACGCCCGATGCATGGAGGGAGTTGCTGGCATGATGGCCTATGTGCAGGTCTCCGGCGGTGTCTCCTTGCCAGACCCCTCTCTCAATAGGCCCCCATGGGCTGGATGTTGTGGCGCAGCTGCGGAGCTTTGCGGAGTCGTGAGTTCCCCCTGCATGGTATAGTCTCCTGGGTAGCGTGGTGGCCGTTGGGCCTGTCTGGGTGCATGGTTTCCCAGGCGATGGTAAGTCCCGGGTTTTGTCCCTCTCTGTCTCTCCAATGTAACCCCTTGGCTTGCTGGCGCAGCTTCGGGGGCCGGTTCCAATCGCTTGTGTTGCCTCGTTCTTTGTGTTGCGTCGGTTCTTGCTGCGTTGGGTGCCGAGGTGTTGGACAGGTGAGTTACTAGTTTGCATCATTTGCTTTGTATTCCCGGGTGGATTAATTTGCGTGTGGGAGAGTGCGTCTGAGGGGCCTGCCGCCATTTTCCTTCTCTGGGCCCGCTGGTATCGGTGTAGCCGGACGGCCTTTTTAGATGCTCGTGGTGTCTGCCTGTATTTGCTACGTCGTGCTGTAGGCCGTATCCACGAGGTCACCATTATCTCTGCTTGGCGGTAGGTCGCTCCTCTGCTCTGCAGGGTGTCCTTGAAGCTAGTACAGAGGAGGTCAAATGTCTCCAGAGGGGACATGGGTAGTTGAGTGCGGGTGCTGGGCGGCCATCTTAGATTTGCCCTGTGGACCAGTTGCCCCAGTATGGCTTGTGGCTGGATCATCTGCTTTCCATCCTGGCCATTGTGGCCAGTGGGGACCGGGATATCCCCCACCGGTCCGGGGGGGGGTGAGGTAAGCTGAAGAGAAGTCGCGTTGGGCCTCTCTTGCCGAGGAGAGCGGCCGCCTCTCCCCGGCTTCAGTCTCAGTAGGCCGCATGTGGGTCTCCGTGTTCCTGGCCTCGATGGGCCCCGGGGTGGTATCGTTGGATTTCGGAGGGCACCCCCGACATGGGTGGCGCACCCCTGAGTGGCTTTGGGCTAAGTAGCCGCTGTTTTAGTCCCGGATTGTGTCTGTTCGGCAGGAGCTCATGTAAGACGCGTTTGCATGGCTCGGTGGTCAGGCTCCGCCCCCTTTTTATTTATTTTAATATATTGGACTCTTTTTATTGTTTTTCATTTCTGTATTTTTTTATTATTATCTCAATACTGTCTTTTATTGTCTTCAATTAGTTGGTAATTTTTTTTATGTTAACATTTTTCGGCCCAAACTATTTCTATTTTATTGTCTATTCTCCTTTTCTGGGGTTTATGAGAGAACCCCATACATTAGGTTTACTGCCTATTATTAAAAATATATTCTCTGATTGGTCACTCAGCACTAATCCACTTGCCGTCTACTGATCCACTGATACAGTAACACATGCCTATTACATATTCCAATTCACAGACTCAGAGCAAGAATGCATCAAGCAGCGAAGGTCTTTTTGACAATTATATTTATACAATTTATGATCTGTATTTGCATTTTTACATTGCATTTAGATAGTTCGCACAATTTATTGACTCGTGACCAGCTTATTTTCCAACCAATGTATCTGTTTATCAGCTGAAGCAAATTCTAATGTAGATACTGATTGATGATCTCCCAATGCTTTACATTTTCATGTATATTTAAGCCGTGATCAAAGACGTTAAAAATACACAGAGCACCAGTCAAAAAACCATGAATTTTGATTAGCTGTCACATTGTTGGAAGGGAATTTGGGCGTGTGTTTCAATAAAGACCAAAAGCTATCAAGCAAGTCATAAGGATTTTGTTTTATGATCCACAGCACTTTGGGCATTCCTCAACACATCTGCCTTCAATTTGCTAGACTCTGCTTGGATTCGATTTTATTTATTGATTCTTTGTTATTTTTTTTTATTGTTTTGGGAAGAGCGCGCTGATGATTAAGCAACACTTTTAAGAAAATTATTTTTATTGCGCGCAGTTTATTATTCATTTTTAAAAACATCTGAAATTGCATACACAGTGTGTAGACCATATTAATTCCTATCGTCGGCCAAATAAAAAGAGGCAAACACATGTCTCTCGTGGATTTATTTTTTCAGCAAATTTGCTAATGGGATTTTAGGATTATTTTATTATCAGCAATGTTATATAGGGAAGCTTCCTGTAAACATAATGATTGAATGTCATCTTGCTGGAAAATAGTTCAGATTATTCACACCTGGTGAATCCTGCTTTAGCTCCTGCAGTGCTGGCTATTTTATGGAGCTATTTTTTAATGGACACACCAGACAATTGTTAAAAGTTTGCACTAAGGACTTAGCTTTGAAGGATAGTACTATAGGGTTTACAGGGTTCGTGAAATAAATTTGAAATATAAAGGTGTCCTTAAAGAAATGATATACCTTTAGGAATGCAAACATGTTTCTAACGCTGTAGTGTTCTGCTATCTATTTAAATTACCACCTCCATATGTGGAATAAAAAAAAAATAAAGATTTACTTATCTTTCTGTCCTTGCCGTGGCAGTCCCCATGCTTCTGCCCCACTTCCCGGACTGAGACCCTAAATCTTGCTGATCTCCGCCAATTCAATGCTTCCCCATAGGGAGAAATTAAAGGCTAGTGCATATGTGCAGCAAATCGCTGCTCTGTGCCAATCAGCATTTTCACATGTAGATGCACTGAATCAGTGCGTCTCTATGGCGTGTGTTCAGCATCTCTATGCAGAGTTGGAGACTACAAATGTAGGTCCTGCAAAGATTGACAATCCTTGTCCAGGAAGTTCCTCAAGTGGCTAACTGAGTGACAGCCAATAGAGGAGGACTTAGGCAGCAATGAAAACTCATCCCTTTCTCATTATTACATTAGGCTTTGGTGGTTCAAGTATTCCTTTAAAATGGCAAATGTGCCTTTATTACTTCTACCAAGGGGTGACCTGACAACATTTTGACTCAAAATGTAGTCTTTGTCAGTGGAATTGGGTACCACAGCATATGATACTGTGTTTACTGAAAGGGCCGAGCTACCAATGCACTGCTTAACTGAAACAAGCCATTTACAATGATCCATTAAAACATTGATTTTGTCTTTATTAACTTGTTCTTGGTATAATTGAAACCGTGTTTGAAATATCGCTCCACTTCCTTGTCAGACGTGAACGTTTAGAAGAAGATACTATATATTTGTACAAATAAAGGTTTTGCTAGGTTCTTCTCTATTCAAGTAATACACAGCTTCAAGTCATCTGGAGGAGAGTCAGAGACTCCCATCAATGGACGAGTGGATGGAGAAACACTTCTAACTAGTTAGCTTCATTGCCATAGTGTCTCAGTTTTATCCCAGTGGGCAGTTATTCTTTATACATATATAATAGTATACATAAGTATTTTTAAACATTTATTTTAACATTATAATTAATATGCCTAGCTTACCCCATGTAAGAATATGTAAACATCATAAGTTTTATTTACAACAAATTGTAGTGAATTAAAAACTGGAAAATCTAAATTTAAGTTAAAAATTATAAATTGTGACAAATGCGGGCTGGAGAATTTTTCCAAAACTGAATTCCTACTTGCCAGATCTAAAAGGTTTCACTGGCCAATAGCTAGTGGGAATTTTGGTACTCCATATTGAGGATTGTGTAATTCTGCCTGCGTCATCAATCATATATACAGGGATATACAATTACTTGTATCGAATGGACACAATATTTAAAAATCTGTTAAAAAAATAAATAAAAAACAATTCAGAGTGTTGCTTATTACAACATGTGTACAGGTTGTGCAGCTAATCAATATAACATAAATTCCATTCACTTGTGTGTCCTCTTTTGGGCGCACCCAATTTGCATAGGATTATATTCTATTTATGGTTGTTACATATATCCTAAGGCGTACATTACAGTTTCAGTGGTAGAAACTTTACACATTTAGTATGTCAGGTCTGTACTTTAAATAAATGATTTACTTTAGTAAAAGCTATCAGAATGCTTTATGTAAAACATACAAAAAGCACTGGTTGCAACGTTTGACAATTTCTCTTTATGCAAGCCAAGTAAAACAATCTACCAGCATTCCTTTACAGGGCAAGAGCTCCCTCCATCGTGCCAATTTCACTCAACTGAAGATTTAATAATCACACATAATAATGAGGATTACAAAAACAAAACAATGATACAAAGGGCAAACAGTGACTAAATGTAAAAAAGAATGGAGAAGGGGCAAGAAAACACGTAGAACATCTAGAAAGTAAACATTTTGGGTGGTATAGTTTTGTTGCCAGTTTTGCGCCATGTAAGAATGCGATCAAATACAAATCTCTAATCGAAAATACTACAGATAATCCAAACACCAGTGGAGAAAATTGTGTGGAAGGATCCAAATTAATAATAATTATTAAATGTACACACTTTACATTAGTTACATTATTGTAGATATAAAAGACTCATCTTTGTCTACATAATTATACCAAAAACATACACAAAGATCTACAAACAAAATAAAGAACAAAATATAGGGTAGTTTTGTAAATATGGTTACATTTGATTGTTACTCACAAGAGGTAAATTGATTGCAAGTGCCCCCCACAATAATGGGTATAAACATTTTCTGTTAATCCCATGTTACCTGGACATGTCGGGATAAAAAGAAAACAGACACATAGTGCAAATCTTGAAAATAAGAATAGCTAATTTAATATAATTTGCACTTACAAGATACAAAATAGTATGGGCCTGTCTTCACTTTTATCAGGAACAAGAATCTCCAGGCTCCACTTTCTGGGGTACCACCAGAACACTCATTTGGTTAGTAGGTAAAATCCACAAACAACATTTTAAATAAATATGAAAATAAAATACAATAAAAACCGCCCTACGAGTTTCATGCAAATACTACATAGAAACTGCACAGAGTTAGAGCAATAATTCAAGCAAGTCAGTTATTTGACAAATAAAGATGAAGGTCTTAGATGATGGTAACGAAAATACATTTTTAGATCAAGAGAACACTCAAATAGGAAAGGAAGAAAGAGCTGATTTATTGATGGACAGAAGAAAATAAAATAAAACTGATTTAAAAAAAAAATAAAACTTTCTTTTAATACACAGTGTATTGGACAAATTATTAAGAAACAATGGCCTTTGTTATTTGAAAATGCATATTTTAAATTTGAGTTGCCTCCTGAAGCCAATATCTTTAGAAAATGGAGAGATTTAAAAAAATACAATAGCTCAAAGTACATTACTAAAGAAAAAGGAAGTATGATGAAGTAGGACCATCTTTTGAAATGATTTAATATTGTATTGGAGCTAAACACTTTATTAACGTGGAAAGAATATGAAGAATGTTACCCTGGAACAAAAAAATGTTACCTTGTTCTTAAACATTGTCAATAATATACAGTAATGACAACGTTAAACAGTTATTTATGGTTTTAATTGAAAGGATAGTTCGGGCATTATTGAGATGGAGCATAAAATGTATGTAAAACAATTGCAGAATGCAGAAGACCTATAAAGGAACATTAAATATACATAACATTATGTAGAATGTTGAAAATGTGAAATGTTGATTATAGAAAATGCTATAAAATCATCCACCATGATTTAAGCTGCGATTGAGTATCAGCAGACCTTTAATACAATATAGGAATAAAATAGTGTAGAACAAGTAAACGAAGAGTTGA